CCCCCCCCCCCCCCCCCCCCCCCCCCCCCCGCTCCACTCGCCACTGAGGGAAGGCGCTGCCCTGAGAAAAGGCGGCGCTTCCCCCACCACCACCCCGAAAGCGCCCTCGTGTCTGAGAGGTGGGACCCGCTTGAGAAGCAATGTCGGCTCTGGCCGCTTCCTCCCCAAACTCACCCCGGCCATGGCCCCAGCAGCCAGGGCAGCGGCACCACCAGCACAGCAGGCCCGGCCGGCCGCCTCGTGGGCAGCTGTTGCTCAAGCTCTTGTGCAAGAGCACGCGCTGCAGGGCGCGGGCCAGGCCGAGGCGCTTGCCCAACTCCCCTGCGGCCACACGCAGCCCCGTGCCAGCCCCGCCACCGCGTGGGTCCCGCTGCCGTGCCTTCAGGGGCCACCCTCACGCCTCAGACACCAAAAATTGGGGCGGGCGCTGGCCGAGAGGGGAAGGAAAGGAACCGTCCCGGGCAGGTGCCCCTGGGGAGCCGTGCCAGCTGCTCTGGGACACACGCCGCTGTGTCAGTCCGCACAACCGCGCCGCTGAGGGTGACGGCTGGGGGAGGGCTTCGTACCTGAACTCTTTGGTGCTCGCCAGGGCGGGCGAGGCAGACAGGCTGCGGGACTTGGCCCGGCCCCGGATGGGGTGGTTGGGCCCCCAGTCCTCGTCCCCATGGCACGCGGAGCAGCGGTACGAGGCCGGATCTGCGCTCTGTGCCTTACTCATGTTGACTTTCTCGTGTTCCGTTTCCACAGTCGGTAAACAAGGACTCCGATCAGAAAAACACTGACGCCTTAATTTAATAAAACAAATAAAGTAAATAAATATGCAGGCAGAAAACACTATATACACAGAGACGCACCCGTTCCACCAGGAGACAAAAATGGCTGAAGTCCCATCTGCCGAAGGACTTGAGAACAGTCTCTTTCTATCCCAAAGATGGCTAAGAGCTCAGGAACCTACCTGTGTTTCCAGAGAATCCAGAAGACCTAAGGGTCGCAGGGTAAGAAAGAGCTAGCAGGCTGCAGCTGTGGTACTTCTCCCACAGACAGGGCCCAGCGCTGGCAAGAGGAGCAGTCACCGGCGGGGACACCGCACAGCACTGCCCCTCGGGGCTGCAGAGCGGAACGGGTCACTCAGTAAGACAGACAAGTGGGCGCGCACCGGACTCTGGGCCCCGCGAACGAGCAGGTACGGCGTCTGCCAAAACTGACATCTTGTAGCCTCAAAGAAAACACCAATTTCCAAACACTAGTAAGGCAGAGAACCTTACCATCCAACCACAGTACAACAAAATCAGGAAAAGACCAAAAAGTAGAACAAAGAAAACAACCCTGCAACCATCTGGAACCGCCTCAACTTTGTCCCAAGCCTCTTGGGGCTCAAACCAACACTGCAGCGCATCGAAACGACCGGAATGGTATGAACGCAAACCAAGGTCTACGCCGCCCTGCTAAGGTGTGCTGGAGTTTCGAGAATGAAGAGTAATGAGCCGAGATTCTTATAAAGCTAGAAAAGGAATAAAATAAGTTTAAGAAAGGCAGAAGCGACGACAAAGAGAGGCAGAAATCAGTACACTGAACAATGGAAAAGAAGGGCGGAGTTTGACGAAAACCCAGTGTAGATCAAGGGACCAGATGGGGAATTCTCCAAGGACAGGAAGGGCCACCACAGGGTCACGGCGAGGGTCCTGCAGCTATGGAGCCGCCCGGACCTGCCCGGGGGGAGAGCAGGCGGCACAGGCTTGTCGCGGGCATGAGCAGGTGGCACCCTGGGAGCCAGCAGGATAACCAGCCACACAGCCCCCACTGCAGGGACAAGCGAGGCAAACGAAGGCCCCAGCAGAGACTGGAGCGCACAGAAAACCCCCGTTCCCAAGGAGGGGCTGAGGACGTGCCAGAGGATGACAGCCCCACAGGAGGTGAATGCGGAGTGGCGGGGGCAGAAGGGACCCTCAGAGACCACAGACAAGCCCGGGCCTCTGTGGCAGGAGAAAGGTGATGGCGCCCCTGCACCCCTACCCTGGCCGCACCTTACAGCTACTGGAGGGGCTTCAGGAAATCATTCCCACACCCAGCCCGGACTGACGGCATCAGTAGTTTTACGAGCTCCCGGCTGGAGGAGGCAACTCCATTGCCTTTGGCTCAGGTCATGATTCCCGAGGTCCTCGGATGGAGCCCAGGGCGGAGCCCCACGTCCTCCAGCCACACGTCCAGCTGCTTGCTCAGCGGGGAGTCTGCCTCTCCCTCTCCCTCTGCCCCTCACCCCACTTGTGTTCTCTTCGTCTCACTCACTCGCTCTCAAATAAATAAAATCTTTAAAAAAAAAAAAGCTTCCCAGGTGGTTCTAAATTTTAGCTGGAGCTGACAGCACTGCCTAGTGGACCAGGACCCTCACACCTTAGGAACGTGGACGCTTTACCCAAGCATGAAAAAAATCATTACTCAAACCCCAAACCTACAAGAACATGTCTGATACAACCACCCCATTCAGTACTGCACCGGACGGCGTAGCCAGTGTAACAAGGCAGGAAAATGAAGTAAAAGTCGTAAGGATGAAAAAGGAACCGGTCTAACTGCAGTGTCGGGGCACCCGGCTGGCTCAGTCCTAGGGCTGTGAGTTCAAGTCTTGATCTTGGGATTATAAATTAAGCCCCACACTGGTGCAGAGATTACTTAAAAAATTGTACTGTCAGATGACATGGTCTTCTATACAGAAAGGTCTACAAAAAAGTGACTATGTCCAATAAGTGAGTTTATCAGCTCGGTTAAGCAGCTGACTCTTGGTTTCCGCTCAGGTCATTATCTTGGGTTCCTGGCATCGAGGCCTGCACTGGGCTCCGTACTCGGCGGGGAGTCTGCTTGGGCACTCTCTCCCTCTCCCTCTGCCCCTTCCCCCCGCTCGTGCACACTCTCTCTGAAATAAACAGATGAGCCTTAAAAATAAATAAATAAACAAAAATACCATTTGCCAAGCAATGAAACATAAGCTATATAAGGAAATAGTTGGCAAAAGAGGTAGAGAGCCTAACTCGAGCTATAAAGTCAGGCGTGGATGTAGTGCAGAGCGTGTGGCTCTAGGAAACTGTAACGGAGCATACACCTGAACGTCGCTGCGACACGAGCTGTCACCCTAAGAACACACTATCTGACCGTGTGCTGATGGGTCGTTAACCAGACCCACCGCAGCGGCCACGTCCCGACGCATTCACATCACATCAGCACACGGCGCGCCCGAGACCGGGGGGCCGTGGATCAGTGGCGTCTCCCTAGGAGCAGCACAGAACCTGTACACCGGGGACTACGAAAGCTGCTGACAGAAATGAACGGAAGCAAATAGTGGAGACAAAAGCACGTCCACAGATCGGAGAGGCTGACATTGTTAGATTTCAGTTCTCGAACTGACTTGGGCTCTCCACAATTCCCATACACAAACCCCTGCAGCCTCTTCTAGAGAAAATGACGAACTGGGTGGCTCAGTCAGTTAAGTGTCCGTCTCTCCCTTTTTTCAATTTGAGAGAGAGGGCGACAGAGGGAGGGAGGGAGGGAGCACAGGTAGGAGGGGCAAGGGAGAGAGCATCCCAACCCGACTGCGCGCTGACTGCAGAGCCTGAAACGCCTGACTCTGGATTTTGCCTCAGGCCCCGGTCTCGAGGTTGGGAGACAAACCCCGCCAGGCGCCCCCCTCAGTGCGGGGTCTGCCTGAGACTGTCTCTGCCTCGACACCACCCCCAACCCACGCTCTCTCTCTCTCTTAAAAAGAAAAGACAACTGATTCTAGAGCTCACATGGAAATGTGGATGACCTAGGCCTAGGATAGCTAAAAAAACTGAAAAAGAACAAAGACAGACTAATATTTCCTGACTTCATGATCTACAGTCACGCTACTGCACCCAGACAGTGTGGTACTGACACACACGCAGATCAAGGAAACAGAACAAATTCCAAAATTTGTTGTACCTCACACAGGTGCGACCAACAGATTTTCTTTTTAAATTAAATTTATTTGTAATAAAGTGATGCCTACACCCAATGTGGGGTTCAAATCCACAACCCTGAGACCGGGAGTCACATGCTTTTCCAACCAAGCCGGCCAGGCACTCCTCGATCACTGGATCTTCAACAGACGCGCCAAGGGGATCGACGGACAGAGCATCATCTTTTCCTCAAGCAATGCTACAAAAACTTGACAGCCGTGTCTAAAAGAATGAAGCCAAACTCTTCCTTCACCCCACCCACAGGCATTACACACGACGTTTTCTACAAATTGAGGGTCTGTGGCTGTCCTGTGCCAAGCGCATCTACCAGCACCATTTTCTCACCAGCATCGCTCATTCACTTTGTGTCTCTGTGTCACACTGTGGTAATTCTTGCCATATTTCTAAGTTTTTCACTATTATATTCGTTACGGTGGTCTGTTCTGGGGCACCACTCCCTTGCACCCATTTAAGACAGCAAACTCAAGAGGTTAAGCGTTGTATGTGTTTTGAGTATTCCACAGACTGGCTGGTCCAGCCCTTCCCCTTCCTCAGGCCTCCCTACTCCCTCAGACAAAACAATACTGAAACTGGGCGGATCAATACCCTGACAACGGCCTCTAAGTGGTCAAGTGAAAGGAAGAGTGGCCCATGTCTCACATCACTTATCTGTTTTTTTAAAAGTAGGCTCCACGCCCAACTTGGGGCCTGAACTCATGACCCTGAGATCGAGAGTCACACGGTTTATTGACCGCGCCGGCCGGCCAGGCCCTCTACACATCTCTCACTTTACTTATTATTATTTTTTAAATGTTTTATTTATTTGAGAGAGAGCATGAGCGAGGAGAAGGTCAGAGAGAGAAGCAGACTCCCCGTGGAGCTGGGAGCCGGATGCGGGACTCGATCCTGGGACTCCAGGATCATGACCTGAGCCGAAGGCAGTCGTCCAACCAACTGAGCCACCCAGGCGTCCCCATCTCTCACTTTATTTATTTTATTTTTTTTTTAAAGATTTTATTTATTTATTTGTCAGAGAGAGAGAGGGAGAGAGAGTGAGCACAGGCAGACAGAATGGCAGGCAGAGGCAGAGGGAGCCTGCTTCTCCCTCTG